GGGGGGTAAGGAAGATGTAGAACATTCTGCGTCTGGATGTATATTGATAAGCAAAAGAATTTTGGTAACAAATAGCCACAAGCAGAGATCGGGTATGCCAAACATCTCCTGGGGATTCACGACTGCAGAACTCCTGCAGGCGAAATCTTCTCCTCATTATGTCGGAGATTCGATTCTCTTTCTGTCAACATTTCGCCAATTTCAATTCTACAAAGTTCGTGGGGAAGGAGAAAAAACAAACAAACCCCGAAAACAACCTAACAATAACCAAAAAGAGACGTAGCGAATTATTATTATCATCGCAAGACGCTAATGGACATACGCGGGTTCTGGAAAACTTCCCGAAAACGACATTTCGTAATGATGAGTTCTTTTCATCTCGCCCCGTCCTTTGACATCATTTCCCTAACAGCGTACCCGATACAATCGCATTTGAAATATTTGCCTATAAATTAGTCGTGGGGAAATTGCGCACTGAGCACACAAACGCTGGGAGCAGCTTAACCAACCGGTTACTGTGAAAAAGAAACATTGAAAGCAGATAAAAATCTGCGTCTGACGGCAATGATAAATCTGTTGCGGCTTTCAGGGATAACTCCAGAACTCATTATTGAAGCTTTATACAGATATGTCGTAAACTATTGTAGGTATCAAAACAACTCCTAGATTTCTGTACCTACAAAAGCATCTGCTTAAATATTGCAGCTATATGGATAACTCTTAATTAATTAACAATCGTGGCTATAAGGATAACTTTGAACTATTGCGGCTATACTAATGAATAACTCCTAAACTATTGTAGCTATTTGAACAAAAGCAAATCTATTGTTGTAAAATGATTAGGATTACAGTGAAGCTATTTAAGCTATAAGAACAACTCCTAAACTATTGTAGCTAAAAAGTAAAATTTTATATGGATGTCTCTTTACAGTATCATCGTAGGTGTTGTAGAAATGTTTACAGAAAACCCTGCCAATTCGTACAGAAGAATAAGTCAGTTATAAGGATAAAAAATCAAGTAAAACAAAACGAGTCATTGGCTAAAAGAACAAAAAGAAAGAAAAATGTTCAGACTGTATTTTATCATCATAATTCAACTTGTCCGTTCCCGAGATACCATTGGCCCAACCCCTGCTGTGCATTCCTATAAATAGCCACAAGACGTCTCTTATCAAACCTATCTATGGGATTATCTATTACCCATCAGCTAACATAAACGGGAACCTTTGTACACGAACCAGCATAATAAAATATACAGTTCGTTTACGACGATTAGATAGTCGCCACACGCAGAAAAAGACTAGTCTAATAATCTAAATAAATAACCTAATATGACTGAGTATTTAGTGAGGAAAAAAGGTTAGTATGAGGGGGAAAAAAGGGGTGGTCGGGGGGGG